CAGACAGACAGACAGACAGACAGACAGCCATCGCGTAATTTTCACGCCCCTGTGCATGGAAATTATTCTTTTTCTCGTGCGCACATACTCCACACACGATCCCTCTAAACAGCTTTTTTTGGTTGCAAAACAAAAAGCGTACCCCTAAACGGGCCACACTTTTCGCAAAAAAAAAACTATTAAAAAAAAGAGAAACAAAAAAAAATAATAAATTTGAACGGATCGCCTTGATTGTTTCTTTTCACCGCGTTGTCGATTTCGGCGCCTCCATTTCTCCTCGGCAATCGATTCCGCTTGGCCGATTTAGAGGGGGTAGAGCCACTCAGAAAGTCGATCAGACATAAACTCGACGTGGGAACCGAGAATCCAAAATCCCAGGAATGTTGAAATTGCTCAGCTACTGTCAGCTTTTGAGCAGCAGCTGAAAGTCCATTGCAAATCAAAACTGGGACATTCCTACAATCAATATATTTGTGATCCCCACCCCAAAATTACCCTATTTCGAAGTCAGGAGAGATTGAATCAACATGTGGAAAGTGTTGCGGGAGGGGGGATATTTCAGTGTAATTCCTCGTAATTCCAGGTTATCCCTGCTTTCGCGCATATAAATCAGTGCGTAGCTGTATCATCACGGCCCCATCGATCCTGATCGAAATTCTGACGACGGATTCTTGATGTACAACACAACATTATACCATAACCTGAAAAATTTATACGATTCGGAGGCGTTTGCAACTTGCTCGGGGGGCCTGCAGACGCGATTTTCACCCAATTTTGGCCACTAAGGCTACTTATTATGTGTCATTTTCGGCCAGATTATTTTTTATCAATAATGATCTAGGTGTAACAACATATTCGCCTGATTGAGAGCGTAGCATCTGATTGAGAGCGAGAGCCAAAAAAATTGAAATTTCGGGTCCAGACGCCTCTTGCCATTTCTTGGCAAGTAGGGGACGGGCTATTCCAAGAAGCGGTGCAAATTGAAGGTCTCATCAGCAGCTTCGCGAGCATATGCGTGTCATCGTCATCGGATGCTGCAGCGAGGAGCTAGACAAGTTGCTAGATTTGCCCAGATTGGCTATTTCTGCTCAAACTGTTTCAGGGCGGTATCGCGTCGGGCGGTGGGCTCTGCTGTAGCTTCTGCTCCCCGCTGTAGCTCCACAACGAGAGACTCCCACAGGATGACCAGGGTAGCGGCTTGAAGCTACGGGCTAGCCCTTCAATTCAAGCTACACAGCAAGCTCCACCTCTCAGTGGTAGTCCGGCTACAGCGTATCGCGCAATCTCGCTCTCAATCAGATGCTACGCTCTCAATCAGGCGAATATGTTGTTGTGTCACATCCGGCTTCTTATGTGTCATTTTTGCGCCTTTCTTTTTTGATCGAAAAAAATATGATTTGGGTTTGTTTCTGATCGCCCGAGTTGATCAGAAAACTTGGAAAAAATGGTTCTTGATCAAAAATAATCTGATCAGATATTACACATAAGAAGTACCCTAATTCATCAATAAGTCATCACCACGACATCCAAATGGGAAAATAAGTATATTTTCGTGATCCTCGTGACCTAACGGATGTTTGTACAAATTTCAGAGGTTGGGAGCCATTTCTTGCTGCTCATAGTGAAAAACTCGTGGAAACTATTCGTCTTTACCGCGGAACACCCCTGAGTTGATTGGTCCCCACGCAACGTGTTGCCCCTTGTAGGTGTCGATGAACTGATTTCGAATTTGTTGTGGCCAACGCACCTCGCCTTCACGGCAGCCTCCTCCACACACTGCATGGATGGTATGCATAAATTGGCGTTATCGTTAATGTGGTGACTCCCGAGAAGGCCTTCGTCTTTGCTGTCTTCTTGTGTGCCAGTAAAGACCATGTTGTTCGTTCATTCACGCAAGCAATCAACCCAGAGGAGGATTGATTGTAGCATTGATTGGTCGGGTAGATGAGCACGTTGTCCGTCCGTTCGAATTATATTGTATGTAGTGGTCGAATCTCTCTATTACTATTATTATTGGGCAGACACACACACGCGCAGGGCATAGAGGATAGCCCCACATGTTTCACATATACAGTACGAGGGAGTCAAAAATGTACGTCTAACATAGTCTACCACTTTTGATCACACCCAGCGTGAGTATGTGTTTTTTCCTCCCGAAACTTCAAGGACATTAAACTACAGTACAACGGCAAGGAAGGTGTGCAGTAAGTCTACCGAAAAACTGACCTGAAAACTGATTCCTAAATCTATGTTCATTCCCCGATAGTCTTCTCGCCCATGCATACAACCCAGTTGGTATTGAGACCCTTCTCCTTTCGCGTGTGTATTGCTGGTAATCCAACGATTTGATTGAGGGCCCATCACCACCCAACCCCAGTAATAACGTATAGGATTTAGACTAGGATTTATTAGGAAGAAATGAACGGCGTGGTTCCAATATTATATTGGAAAGGGAGTTGAGGAAGATGATGGCCGTGCGTATGCGAGAAAAGTCAGGGGACAGGATTGCTGTAGCTCCGCATACATCGGAGCACAACGCGCCGCGTTTGCTCTACGCTGGTTGGTTCGTCAGTACAGTACGCTCAGGAGATGTTCCCTCGGGTACAGCTCGGGTAGGCTGTTCGTTTTTATCTTGTAGCAATTATTTTTCTCCCAAAATACTTTAGATTTTGGTTATCATTTTACTTATTATATATCAATAGATCGTGGTCTTATTGAAAGTCTAGGTCCTTTTGGTTTTTCAAATGTAATATAAGATCAAGTAAGTAAATCTCGTTTATGGCACTCTGGTTAATTATATCATTATTTATTTATCATTATTTACGTTTTTTATGTTAATTTTAGGTGTACTACTGCTGAGCTGCTATACTGCTGGTTCTGTGCGATCAGTCACACACGGTGATGGTAGCAGGAGAAGGGAGCAGGCCCCTGCCCTGCCTGCAGACTACCCATTGTTGTGGTTTGGTCGCAGCAGCTTCCCTGCTGCATACGTATCTAAGGAGCTACAAAGCTGTCGGCTGGCTACTGCAGCAGTAGTCTATCTAGACGTCGGGACAAGTCAGTCGTTGGGGGGACGGCGCGACTGAGAATAAACGGGAATTCCATGAGCTGGAGCTTGTTTGTGGGCAATAACGTCCTCGGAGCTTGCCAGGCAGCGCAACTCCAACTACTGGTGTAACTCCAGGGGGTAGCAAACAGCTGGGGTATTCCCAAATAACAGCAGTAGTGCTACCCGCGCGCCGTGTGCCGTGTGACCATATTGCGATATCCTCTTCCTCGCACCCTCCCCATCCATCTACTCGTACATACATACATACATGAAGATGGCTACTGTTTGTTGTAGACTACACCACATTTGTCATGGTACTACATTCACACTCGATGATGATGATGATGCATAATCATTTGCACAGCAGTCCACCGTGGTCAAGTCCACCGTGGTCTCACGTACTGTTTGCCCGTGCGCCGTCATATGGTCCGTTCGGGCAAATATTCACAATCATCTTGTTTTTCGCGATATCTTTCGAAAAAAAACGATTTGGAAAGTGAAACAACTTTGGGCGTGACCGCGGCGTCGAGCTTCGTCGATATCTCGATATCCGATTAGTTTTTGGTGATTGGGTGAAATGCGACATTTTGTCCAAAATGACCCACGGAGCCCCCACCCCCCCACCCCCTCATGACCCCACGGAGCCCCCAAAGTACAACACGACCCCCCCTCAACCCCTCCCTTCTACACGTATATGCCTTCAGAACATCAGTTAAACCGTTGTCAATCCATATTATTTACATTATTTACACGTTACATATGTACATACATACATACAATACCGCCGTTTACTTTCTACTCAACCCCTGGCTGGTGAAGGTGCTGCAAAAAAACCATGCAGCAATCACATCCGTTCTCTCTAAGCAAGTCCGATACCAAGAGAGACAGCTATAGCGTTGAGTTGGTGACCATGACGAACGCCTCTACCGCGCCTAAACGCGAGAAACCAACTCTACAACACACCGCGACATATAGATACGTACCCTCCCCACTCACGCCTGAGCGTGCCCGCCCAACCATTTCCTCAAAAAATTCATCGTGTTGCGCAAAATCCACAGCCGTAGCTGCTCCTTCCGGGAGGCTCTCTTGCTCGTCCACGTGTTGAAGGCTTCCCTGGTCGCTGCCATCGACTTCTTGCGCACTTCCTGCGCAGCCGCAAGCGCCTTCGCCTCGGCTGCCTTCTTCTGCTCCGGCGTCTTCCCCGCCCCCCTCGCCTGAATCACGGCATCTCCCCTGGCGGTGGCTTCTCGGTGCTTCCCCCACTCCTTGAGATCGCGGTACTCGAGGTAGACCTCCTGGCCCTCGTCGTAGGCTTCGATGTACAGCCACGTCACCCTGCTCCATGCGCGGATAAACCGTGCGGGTACGCCGCTCAACGCGCCGGGCAAGACCTGGAGCATGTGGCGAAGGGAATACTCGCAGTGGAGGCGGAGGAGGTGCTTGATGTACCCCCAGTATCGCTCGATTGCGTTGAGCTCTGGGTGGTACTTCGGCAAGAAGATGCACAGGTGCCCGTGTGCCTTGAAGAGCTTCTCAACCATGTTGAGCTCCTCCCTGAACGCCTTGAGCTCAGACAGAACGCGCACGACGCAGCAGCGACGCCTCTTGCCTGCTTCACCAGCTGCCCCGCTCCCACCCGAGTCCCCGTCCTCTCCGCCGTCCTCCTCTCCCTGCCCCGTGTTGTCCACCACCTGCTGCCGCCCCTCTCCACCGCGGTTGAAGGCGGTAATGGCTTGCCTTGTTGCCGCCTTTTCCGCCCTGCACGCGCTGCACTCGTGAACGCGTAGGGTTGGCTCGCCTTCCCACAGCCCCATCTCCATGAGCAGCTGCTTTCCTCCTTTCGGCAGGCCGATGAGAACGGCGGTGGGGCCAGTCATCGTCGTGGTCGTTGGTGTGCATGGGAGAAATATTGGCGTCCTTCATGGTCGGAAGAGGGAGGAGAGTCGTTGCCTACAGCAGGGTCCGCAGGGGGCGAAGGGGCCTTCCGAATCGTGCCGTCGGCGTTTCTTGGCAGCTTGCGCTTACCCTTTGGGCGACCCATGTGCCCGGAGCGCGTGTGCATTTTTCGTTGCGTGCGTAAAGGGTGTGTGTGTGTGTGTGTCCTCTGGTGTGTGTGTGGCGGGAAAAAATTCCCCGAGGGCGTGTGAAACCACCCGGAATATCTCCGAAACCCGAGTTTTTTTTGAAATCGGAAAAAAATCATCGGTGGGAAGTCACGAGAGGAATCGATTGCAGCACTTTATTTTTGAATCGTAAGGTTGGATTGTCCCCAAGAAACTAAGCAAAATACCCTCCAATATCCGTTTTTTTGCCCATAACTCTGTATTTTTTTGTCAAATTGGAAATCGGAAAAAAAAAATCGGTGGCAAATCACGAGAGCTGTCCAAATCCGGTCTCAGATTTTGTGTCTGCAAAAACACCGCCCTCCAGAAAGTAAGCAAGATTTCTTTAATATCTGAACATATCGAGCGAAGGACGAAAAAAAAAGAAAATCTCCGCACGAAGATGCGCCTTGAAACGTCAATTTACGCGGTATTTTCAGATTTCGGAATAAGTACCCCCACCCCGAGAGTGCACCTTTGTGCAGGGGAAAATATTGTGAATATTTGCCCGACCGAACGGACCATATGTACATGTGTTCAATATCTTATCCCTTCCACCGCCGAGCCTTACGCGCTAAGTCTACATCTTGTCCCTTGCAGCATCCCCGTATGTGCGTTGCTTGGTGAGAGAAATTTAGGCGAACACGAACAAGATGACAACTAACTATAGGTCCTACAGCAGCTGTACTTCTTATATACATGCATGTCATGTGTACAAACGGCAACTAACCTGCCTGGTGGTTGAAGCGGGTGACACAAAGCACGTAATAACTGCGTGCGTTCTCGTACATCGTACGTTTCTTCGTCCATTTTTATATCTATCTGAGTCAGCTGAGCGGCGGGAAAGTACAACTGCATACATGCTTGCATGTTTAGATGGATAACGACACCCCATATGCATGCACGTGTACTGTACTGTAGTAAAAGACAAACTACAACATGCCCCAAATATTCAAAGTTTGGTGAGCGCGGGCGATCGACGAAGATTGGAAAACGAAACACTCAACTCAGCAACAAATCAATTCAATTCAACTCGGTTCGGAGTCTATTGACGGGTATTTCCCTACTCCTTCCTGCTCTTCCTGTACATTGTACCAGCCAGTGTACCAGCCAGTGTTCGTTCCTATTTCTCGCACGTCTATCATCTGTGGGGAGTTGTCTTATCCTCTCTGATATATTATAGATGGTGTGTGGCGACGACGGAAGGTATTCGCATCATTAATGGGCACGTAATGGAGACCTTCCGACTTATGTGATGTACATCAGGTCGTATGTTCCAGGTCGTATGCATCACATGGTATGCACAGAAACCCTCGCGAAAGGGCCCTTAAAAAAACTAAAAAACAGGGTTGGTTGTCGTGTCGGCCACCACCAGCAGTACGGCCACCCAAGGAAAACGCCATTACTTTCTGGGGCTGTCCATTTCTCCCGTGTTTTTTTTTCCCCAACGTTGGGTGCACCCATTCACCGGTGTGGAAAATGACGGATTGGGTCCGGCACTCATACTCATCGCGCGGCACACGTTCGGGTGCCATCTCAATCCGAAAAAATGCCGAAATGTTTTTCGATGCCCCCCGTGTCCCCCACTCTCGGGTGGGGACGCGCCCGTTTTCAACGTGTTCCGGTCGACGTTACCCAGAAAAACAGTAGTCCTCGTGCCCACCGACCATCTGGACGGGTCGGGCACGCAAAAACCGCACAACCTGCTCTTGTGCGGGCGCCTGTTGCGTGAGTCAGTCGTGCGTGCCAAATTCCGATTGGTACTCCGATTGGTACCGTACGCGACTTTGGTTAGGGGCAGGATAACAAGACAGGAAACGCCATGTTTCGATTATTTCGCCCAAGTTTCTCGGTAGCGAAGCTTGACTATCTGTTTGTGCCCCTCAGGTTGGTGATCAACCATCCAAACACGCACCCAAGTCCTCCGGGCACCCAAGTCCTCCGGGAGCACACCAACCACGTCTTGGTCGGCAATAATTTTTCCAAGCCGACTTCACCTCACGCGGCCCTGGTGCACGCCGTCGCTCAATGGGCACAAGAGTCGGTTTCGACATGAGTTCGTGTATTTTTTTCCCGTGGGAATCTTTGCCCTCGCACTCTGCATACGCACACCATGGCCCAGAAGACGAAAAACAAACGCGGCGACCAGCGCCCTTGGGCAAAACCACTGCTCCATTGTAGTTGTCATTGAGTTGTCACGACCGACGGCCACCAGCAGTACGGCCACCCAAGGAAAACGCCATTGCTCTTTAGGCTGTCCATTTCTCCCATGTTTTTTTTTCCCCAACGTTGGGTACACCCATTCACCGGTGTGTAAAAAGACGGATTGGGCCCGGCACTCATACTCATCACGCGGCACGCGTTCGGGTGCCATCTCAATCCGAAAGAATGCCGAAACGTTTTTCGATGCCCCCCGTGTCCCCCACTCGCGGGTGGGGACGCGCCCGTTTCCAACGTGTTCCGGTCGACGTTACCTAGAAAAACAGTTGTCTTCGTGCCCACCGACTATTTGGACGAGTCGAGCAAGCAGAGATCTTGGCTTATTGTGGATGTCCAACCTGAGTTGGGTACCCTTACGGCGCATTTCCGACAATCACAACAACTCCGGTGTTTGTTGACCACGTCGTTTTTTTTCACGTGATGAGTGCAAACGTTTTGTTTCACACCTTTTCGAGTGCAAATGTCCCGCTGTATCACCAACGACAACCCTGAAGAATATATCAT